CAAACTGGATTACCCACAGGCAGCTTCAAACACAGCATGCCCCAAACTGAATTTACCTTCCTCTCTAAAACTGCATTTTCACTTGAATTCTTTATCTCTGTTCATGTTCTACATCCACCTGGTTATGCAAACTTAGAAACTAGCTGATATTTTTGCCTCCTTCTCTGTCTCTCTATATTCAGTCCATAACTATATCCTCTAATCTAGCCTCTCAATCCCTAGTTCAGCAACTCTTTTCTAGATCTCTACAGCTAATCTGGTTTTCCTATCTCTGGTTTTGTCATTCTCTAAAGCAAAATCCACACAGCTACAGTGTGATCTATCTGAAATTTAAATCTAAATCTGCCACTCCCCTGCTAATACTCTTTAATCCTCCTTTTACCTAAAGAATTAAAGCCAAGCTCAATAGCATGCCTCCTTCCTTTTTTTTTTTTTTTTCTCATTGTCTGACATTTAAAGCTCCAGCGATATTAAAAATGTGCATTTACAAATGGTTTTCCCTCTGCCTGCAATGTGCCTTCCCTTTCCCCTACCACCCGCCAGCCGCCGTTCACCCCCTCCTCTGGCTTTGTTTGTGTAGTTGATATGCATCTTTTAGAATTCATAAACTCTCCTCTAGGAATCTCTTCCTTACCCTCTCCTCTACTCCCTCCCTAAACAAGGTTAAGTTTCTTTCCTCTGTATTCACAAAATATCTAATATAAATTTTTTCAGTGTATTTACCACATTATATTTCTTTCTCATTAACTGGGACTTCTTTGACCACATTGGTAGTGTCTTATCTCCAAGATATAGCACAGAATACCTGTGCCTGGGATACAACATTTGTTAAATAATGATATATATCCATATTTTGATCCCTTTAGACCACTTATCTGAACCTGGATATCAGAAGATTTAATTCTTTCTTTTATCCAAGTGGGCCTCCTCCTTAAACAGCAATTTTTATCTACTCATCTCCCCAAAATATTTTATCTTACCTAACATTTTGTTCCATGGTTACAGTGGTAGTTAAGTTGTGTGTCAACTTTGCTGGGCCTGGTTTTGAGTGGCTGGGCAACTGGACATAGTTATAACTCATGATGAGACTGGTAATCAACTCCATGGTGGAACCTACTGGAGCAGCTGAGTAGTTGCCTTAGGGATGTGGTCTGCTTCCAGTATATAAGAAAAAGCTGTGAGAAAGGTCTGTGGAGCTTTTGGCATGCTTGGATCCTGCTTGTAGCTGAGTTGTCGTTCAGCAGCCTGCCATGGTTGCCTACCGATCTTGGGACTATTTCTGAACTTGAACTAGTAGCCTGCCCTGTTTTTTGATAATTTTGAGACTGTGCCATTGTACTTGTCAGCCTTGGGTTTGTCAATCTGAGTTGTAGCTGCCTGAGTTAAGAGATGCCTTCAGCTTCAGTGGGCCTGGAGCAAGAGGCAGAGCTAAAGCCTAAGGTCGAAGGGCCTTCACCCAGCTCCTAGAACTGGCACTTTGAACTCAGACTTCTAGCCTCCTAAACTGTAAGAGAATAATTCCCTGTTTTTTAAAACCATCCATTTGTGGTATTTTCTGTTAGAGCAGCACTGTGTTGTTGTTGTTGTTATTTGCCGTCGAGTCGGCCCCGACTCATAGCGACCCCTCCTTGGCTTTCCGAGGCAGTATCACTACGGAAGTAGGATTGTCCAACCTTCCTTCCGAGGAGTGGTTGGTGGGTTTGAACCGCCAGCCTTCTGGTTAGTAGTCAAGTGCCTTAGGCACTATGCTACCAGAGCAGCACTAGAGAACCAAAATAATTACCCTCCATTATCTGAAGTGTCAGTAGAGGCAACAGTCTAGTCCTTGAGGCCATGTTTTTAAAACACAGCATGTCTTTTCTCCCCAGACAAAAGGAACTCTTTTTTTTCCCCCTCACTCTCAAGCCATCTTATGAGTGTCTCTTCTGCAACAGCTTTCTTGAGACTCACTCTAGTTGCTACCCCGTAAGCAGCTATCCTTTCTTCTTCTGAACTACCTACTATAGAATTTATTACCATACATAAGTTACATTTATGTGGGAATTCCTTGAACAAGCTGACAGAATTATGGGGGCCCGAAGCAGGCCTGGGAGCTCTGGTGACATAGTGCCTAAGGCACTTGACTACTAATGAGAAGGATGGTGGTTCAAACCCACCAGCCACTCCTTGGAAGGAAGGTTGGAAAATCTACTTTCATAGAGATACTGCTTTGGAAACCCAAGGAGGGGTAACTATGAGTCAGAGACGACTCGACGACATATAACAACAACAACAACGAAGGAGGCCCTAGGGTACCTTGTTGACATGAGTATGGCATAGGGACACTAGGAATATTAACTCACAGCAACTACCTTGAGGATTTCAAAGTCATCAAGATATAGTAGAAACCATGATGGCCAAGTGTAAATGGGGAACAATTAGGAGAGGTAATGAAACAAAGTGAGATAATAGAATACAAAATGCCAACATAAAAATGTGTAGGAAGGTATGAATTAAAAGGATGACCAGGCCTATATATTTTCTTGTACCTAAAAGGAAAGAGTCCCATCAATTTTTTTTGGTCTTAAAATCAGGAATGTATCGTTAAGGCTTGAGGCAGAAGTGTGTGTGACAAATTGGTTTCATATAGTGGCATACTCGACATAGTTGTTTGAAGGTATCTGTTAGAGCTTTCCATTAAAAGGAAATCCGAGACTAAGCCCAGGGTTAGTCAGCCAAGGCCAGAGGAAGAGAATGAACAGTTATATGTTTGTTGCTAATGGGTTGAGGCAGACCTTAGGGCTGCTGTGTACATGCTGTCCTTGATTTTAATGTTCATTCTCTGGAAAACAAATGCAGATCTCCTGCATGGAAGGCAAGAGTTCTATCACTGAGCATCAGTGTCACCCAATGTATACTGCTCACCTCCACTCCTCTGTTAATAGCGGTTTGTGTGTTGCTCTGATACTGAACAGGTTTCAGTGGAGCTTCCAGGCTAACTCAGATTAGGAAGAAAGACTTAGAGATCCACTTCTGCAAATCAGCCAATAAAAACCCTATGGATCGCAATAGTACAATCCAAACCCAACCATATGAATGGTGCAAGACTGAGTAGTGTTTCATTCCATTGTTTATGAGGTCACCATGAATCAGAGACTGACTCAAGGGCAACTGAAAACATTTTAATTGTAAATATGTATACCTTTCTCTTTGATTAGAGTTTAAGTTCTCTGAGGGTAATGGATACTGCTTATAGCTTCCATAATGCATGAGGCTCCTGAGTATTTTGGAGCCAAATACATTAATAAATATATTTGGGGAACTTATTTTCATAAAATGTTAGGATAAAAGGCAACTGGAAGAAATATCAGTATTCCCTCCCCTTTCTTTTTTTAAATTGTGCTTTAGGTGCAAGTTTACAGAGCAGAGTTTGTTTTGCATTCAACATTTCATGTACATGTAGTTTCAATCCCCATTTACCAACCCCAACCCTAACCTATTCTCCTCCCCTCCTTGCCCAGTAACACACACCCCATGTCCCTCATAGTTATGCACTCCTGTGTGTCCTGCGTTTCCTCTGTGTGAATGTTGTCCCTCAAAAATATCAGTATTTTATATCAATGGCTCAAAAAGCAATTACTTTGCATCTTCATAACCAATAAAAAATCCCATTTGGTATAGAGACTCACTTATATATCAAAATTAAAGAAAACTGTTTCTTAAGTGAAATATATAAAATATATAATAAAATGTATATAATAATAAATGTTGCACAGGGGTACTACTGTATTCACAGTCACGTCACTGCCATAGTTTTCTCATCTAACCTACATTTTACTTAGGACCTACATAAAATCGGATTAGTTCAATAAATATTATTTCTAGTAATTTTGTTCCATGAGTTTAAAAATGGTTGAGCACATTAAAAGTAAAATATAACCTAACAGTACCGGACACACTTTTTATGGCACCAAAATGAATCTTTCTGTTAAGAAGCAAAATTGACTGTAATATTGCTTTGGGTTAACTGATCTATTACTTGTTTCTTTTAGCATATTGGAGTAATGAATGACATACTATAACCAAAAACAAATATTGCAGTAAATGTTAGAGGCTACAGAATGAGATTTCTAAATCTTTTTCAAATTAATAAAAGTCAAAATAGATTAAATTGCATTTCAAACTGTAGCTCACACAATCCACTTCATAACCTTTCTCCATTTTATCTGAGATTACAACCTAACATAATTCAGCAGAGAAAATGAAATCTGTAGATTTTCCAATATGAAAAGTTTAAAAAAGTACAATAGACTTAAGCAAATATCTACAGCTCATTTACATATTTTGGAACTGTCTTTTTTGTTAATTATTATACCTACTAGAGTCAGAATATCATTGACACATGGTGTAATAGAAAGCATTGAACTGGGACAAAGGAAGCCTGTCTATAAATCTGAGCTACAGAAGCCAAAGCAAAAAATGCTCTATTTGATTATATCCTTGTAAAACAGGTCATCACCTGAGAGGAGCCTTATCTCCTGTCTACAGAGTGGTTCCCAGATTGGTAGATTTCATGAATCAGAGACCAACATAGAGTAATTCTTTTTATTTTCCCAAGTGATTACATGAAAAAATATAATTACCATCAACAGTTTCATCACTTCATAAGAGAAAGACATATAAGGCCAAAATGCAGAAAGAATTTAACCTCAGCATTAAACACAAATGTAACATATATATCTTTATGAAAAGTTTATAATTGTTATTTTTCTCTCCTTTTGCCTCAGAAAGCATTACAGATCACTAATATGTACCATTTGTATAAATAATTGAGGATTGGCCAAACATCATGTACGTTTAGCTCTCTACTGCAAACTCTAATAATTCTATTTTAAAATAATAATAGCACAGAACAGAAGAATTTTCCTTTAAGTTCTACAGATATAAGCTGGAGGTTGTTAAATTAATAATGAATTTTTTGAGTCACCTTCAGTAACCGGAAAATCATTCTTTTGTTTCAGATTGATTTCCCAGCTACCAGGTGGGAGTATATGAAATCTGATCCTGAAGAAAATAGAAGTAATCTTGAAGAACCACCAAAAGAGTGCTTAAAACATATTGCCAGACTTTCACAGAAGCAATCTCCCTTACTGTAAGTGACCCCAGTCTTCTGAGTGAATTTTGCCCACTGTGCATGGTATTAATCATATTTGAGACACATATCTTTACACAGTGAACCTTCTTCTGCACAAAACTGCTTTAATTTTCTAATGTCACACCTGTTGCATAATCAAATAATGTCTAGGAGCTAATTCTATAACTTTGTATGCCTTGAAAAATTTATTTACTGAGATACTTAGCAACTTTCACTTTAGACTATGAAAAAATAATTAGAATCATTCCTTTCAAGCCAACAAAGCAGAGTGATTACATCTATGTCAGCATATAGTAGTGAAAAATCACTCCTCAACAATCCCTCAAGTAGGTAGGAAATTGCTTTAGTAAGCAGGAAAAAACAAAAATGTATTTGTTATGGGAGATTAAAAAAAGAACAGAAATAAAATAAGTTTTTTTGTTTTTTTTTTAATAATTGTGGTTGGGTAAAAGTTTGCAGAGAAAATTGGTTTTCCATTCAACAATCTATACACATTCTGTTTTGTGACATTTATTGCAGTCCCCACACTGTAACAGTATTCTTCCAATTTCCTCCCTGTACCCACACCTCTTCTCCCTTCCTTCTCCTCTCCTCCACCTTCGTAGCTCTATCCCTGGGCAAATGTTGTCCTCTTGATCTCATATGCTTAATTGTTCTAATGAGTGCATACCTTCCTCCTCCTTATATTAGTGTTCACCTTATAGGCTTGTCTATCAAGCAGGAGAAAGGGGATTAAAAGGCCCAGGAACCTGGAGAGAGGAGCAGTCAGTCGCAGGGACCCAGGTAAGGGCAAATGAGAGATTTCCAACAGGGAGACAAACTTATCTGTCGGTTTGTCCTACTGTGGTGACATGTTGATGTGAGTTTTGAGGCTGAGCCACTGGTGTTTCAAACCCAGCGGGATGCACATGGTGCATGGTATCAGCCCAACTTACAGACTGAGACAGACTAGGAAGAAAGAAGAGGCCATCCACTTCTCCAAGAATTGGCCAGGGAAAACCTTATGAATAGCAAAGAAACACTGTTTGATACATTACTGCACAACTTTATGAATAGTCCGGTTAGGTTAGAAGGCTCTCAAAATAGGACTGGAAAAGAGCTGCATCATCTAAGTAAACCCAGACTTACTCCTATGGATAAAGTAAAGCTTTTGAGACCTCCATTTGCTGATGTGGAACCACTCAAATTGAAGAGAAACAGTTGCAGACATCCGTTAATCATCGGACTTGGAATGTACGAAGTATGAATCTAGGAAAACAGGAAGTTGTCAAAAATTAAATGGAACACATAAAGATTGATATCCTTGACATTAGTGAGCTGAAATGGACTGGTTTTTGTCACTTTGAATCAGACAACCATGTGATCTACTATGCCAGGAACGACAGTTTGAAGAGGAATGGTGTGGCATTCGTCATCACAAAGGATGTTTCAAGATCTGTCCTGAAGTACAATGCTGTCAGTGACAGGTATCCATATGCTTATAAGGAAGACCCATTAATACGACTATTATTCAAATTTATACCCCAACCACCAAAGCCAAAGATGAGGAAATTGAAGATTTTTATCAACTTCTGCAGTCTGAAATTGACTGAACATGCAATCAGGATGTGTTAATTATCACTGGTGACTGGAATGCAAAAATTGGTAACAAAGAAGAATCACCGGTAATTGGAAAATGTGGTCTTGGTGACAGAAATAATGCTGGAACTCGCATGGTAGAATTTTGCAAGACCAATGACTTGTTCATTGCAAA